AGAAGAACCACACCGATCACCGTAGTGAGCATATACATAACCAGTGGGGGCTGGAGCAGCTCCCCATCGGGTTGCTCCAGCCAGTTGTGGACAGCAGTAGCCCCTGCCTATGGTGAGGGACTGCTCCAGCCCAGCTTGGCTAGCGTGCTCCACCTCAGCCACTCCTTTACCTGGTTAAACACTATATTTAACCAATTACACGGGATTTTTACATCCCTAGCCTGAGGGTGACTTTACTCATGTGAACAGCACCATTGAATTCCATGGTACCACTCACATGATCTGACTAACTCAGACATAAGCGCTGGCAGGATCAGGCCCTACATGACTCAATACAATAAACAAGGCTCATCTCTCATAAGACATTCCATGGTCATTTATTTTGACCCGAGTGGGCTAGTCAAACAGATCAAAAAGTTTCTATTGAATTTCCCCCTTCTCCCTCCAAGGAAAATTATCTTTCTGACCAAAATGAACACTTCCACATACACACAAAATTTCAATTGCAATTAGGTGTGGATTTTAACCCCAAAAAATTAGAAACAAAAAAGTTTCTGAAACACTGAGGAAGTTTTTGTTTGAACGGGGGCCAGGCAGAAGAATACTCACTTTTTATACTTACCTTCCATCGTTCTAGTGGAAGGAATAAAAGTGGTTTTTCCATGCTGACAAAATGAAAAAATTCAGTATTTGAAAATTTCAAAAAACTTTTTTCAAACTTGAAAAAGATAAAAGAAATTTTAATAGAAAAATTATTTTCATTCCTTTCAAAATATTTCACAAAATCTATTTCTCTCTTCCCCATCTGCTCCACTGCATAGCTTTATTCATTTAGGATCCCTCTATCTGGACTGCAACAGATCTTCTATTTAAATAAAACACACACACGATCCCTTCTTTAAAAATGCAGAGGGGAAAGGAGAAGCCAGCATGTCTTCACTGCTGTGGAGATAGACGCTGTAGAGGTCGATCTTCCGGCGTTCGATTTAGCGGGTCTAGTAAAGGCCTGCTAAATCAAATGCTGAGTACGCCCCTGTTGACCACAGTACTCCTCGTGAGGTGTAAGGGAAGTCAAAGGTAGCCTGTCTCCTGTCAACATCTCACTGTGGGGACAACACCAAAAGTCTGCTTAAGGTTCATCCACTCCAGCTACATTATTTACAAAGCTGGAAATGCATGCCTTAAGCCAACTTTCAGCTGTTGGGCAGACATGCCCGCAGTTGCTTCTGAAAACTTATTTGGGAGGAGCTGTACCTCAGCTGACAATGTACAACATGTTGCTAAACTGGTGCTGCAGGCTCTTTCATCACTACATGTCTCAGACTCAAGGGAGGAAGGAGATAAGAACAAGATTTTCAGAAGTGTCCAACATTATTAATTTGTATGATGGTGACACTTGACCTCCATCTGAACCAGACCCCCATCTTGCTAAGTGCTATACAGACAGAACAAAAAGCAGCCCCTCAAAAGCTGACCATCTCAATAGATTTGAGGCCCAACTTGCCCCCACTGCATCCTTGGATATTCAGCCCTTACAGCGCTCTTAGTTTCCAAGTGAAATTTAGAATGTGGAGCATCTCTGAAAAGTATGCCTGTGCCAGTCTCAAACTGGACACCAAAGACCTGAGGCCTCCCAACTAGAACTGTGCGAACAGATCAGGCAGCTTTGCAACAAAAAGAATTTGGTAACAATCCCAAAAGTGTTCCAGTCTCCCCAAAGCAGCACTGTTCTCTAAGGGGAAAGTGTTATGGATGGAAATTCAGCCAGCATCAGTTGTAGGGTTGCCAATTCTGGTTGGACATATAATTTCCTAGAGGTTTCATCAAATGATGTAATGTTGAATTAAAGATTAATCTTTAGTTCCTGGAGATTCCGGGACAGTATTGGAGGGTTTGCAACCCAAATCAGTGGAGATCTTTTGTAAATCCTTCCTGTGACAGGGGAGGGAGAGCAAACGCTGCATGGAACAAGGGGGAGGGGGGCAGTCTTGGGGAAGAATGATATTCTCCATGGATGTGAAGACACACAGGTTCACACAGCATTTTCCATTGCCCCCAAAAAGCTTCTCCCTGAGCACCTTCCATGTATGGATTGCTCCTTCTCCGTCGAGAAGGGAGAACTGGCCCCTGCTGTAACACCTTTTTGCCAGTCACTGTGGCAGAGGCAGTCACCCAGTGCTGGAAGGGAAGAAGGAATAGGGTGGGGACCGTGGCAAAGGAAGAGATATGCATCAATCTCCTTTGGTCCCTCAGAGCCTCAGATAATTCAGCATCCAGCCTTTCCTGCGTAGTCCCTCAGGGACCAATGGACAGACAAGTGCTATCAGAGCTCTAATGGAGCAAGAAAGCAGCAGGCTGCCCAGCCAAGACCCAGAGAGACAGAGCCTCTGAGACGGGGGTCCAGGTCTTTCCAACTAGATTTTGGGGTAGCTCCATTCAGGGATGTGCTCCTTCTGCAGCTTTTCAAAGTGTGAGGGGCTGATCCAGTGCACCACTTTTAACTTAAGGGCTTGCCTCCATGGCAGCGCTAGCTCAAGGTGTAACTTGAGGACTGCCCGTAACCTGACTCCAGCCCACACACAAAAAGTCTCTAGCTCAAATGAGGGGCTGTTTTAAACTTGGAGGTAGCTGGTGGCCCATTGCAGAGGGCTGGATGAGGATTAGTGGGGGGAGCTGGAGAGCTGCTAATGCAGTAGGAACACAGCTACTTTATGCTGCCAATACAAATTTTGCAGAAAAAAAACCACAACAGATAGCCTGGTAGCACTTTATAGACTAACAAAACATGTAGATGGTATCATGGGCTTTCGTGGGCACAGTCCACTTCTTCAGATGACCGGAATTATAAATTGGGGATATGAAAACTCGAAATAAAGAGGAGGGGGGAAGGGGTGTGCAGTGTGGCTGCTTCAAGTAGGCTAACTTAACTGCAAATTAGTAGAGTGAATGAGAGTCAAGATATTCTCATAGCCCACATCAGATTCGAGCAAAATGTCTGGATGCAGGTCTTTCAAACCTCCTTCTCTCAAATACTTTCCCACATGAGCACTTGATGGCTTAGTCACTCCCAGCGGCAAAGGAGGGCTTTGAATTTACATTTTTCAGAGGGGTGTTAAAACACAAAGCCTGGATCTCACAGAGCTTCCTCTCTCCAGCTGAAGTCAAAATTGAGCCATGATAAAAATGGGTGTTGCCTATAGCAGAAAAGTGGAGGCAAAGCACAAACAAATGCTTATTTTCATACTTTTGTACCTTGTATTTGCATGCCAATGGTGCCATGCTATGGATGGAGACAATGGACCCATTACAATACTTAGTGCTCACACCTCACATTGTAAACCAGTAATAGAGATGTAGCCCTGTTAGTCTGGTCTAGCTGAAAGAAAAGACAGGACTATGCAGCACTTTAAAGACTAACAAGGTCATCACCTAATAAACCATCTTGTTAGTTTTTAAAGTGCTGCATAGTCCTGTTCATTGTAAACCAGATCAGGCACATTCAGCCAACTACCACCCCCCATTACCCTCCTCCACGCACAGACTTCAGGGAGGCTGCTCTGTTCCCTCTCAGTCAGGCTAACCACTTTGTGAGGAAAGGAAGGGGCCATTAGCGCCTCTTTACAGACAGGGAATGGCAGCACCAAGAAGCTAAGGACATTTCCAGAAATGGCTCCCAATTTTGGATGCCTCAATATTGGGTGTCCAAATCTAGGCATCTGGAACCTGCCTTACATAAGCATTTCATAGCCACGGCTCTGACTGCCTTCTACTGGAGTTTTGTGGGTGCCTACGCATCCAAAAATTAAGTCACTCAAGGTCAGCAGAGAAATCTGGGCCATAAGAACAGCCGTACTGGGTCAGACTAAAGGTCCATCTAGCCCGGTAGCTTGTCTACCGACAGTGGCCAGCACCAGGTACCCCAGAGAGGGTTGACCGAAGACAATGATCAAGCGATTTGTCTCCTGCCATCCTTCTCCAGCCTCTGACAAACAGAGGCCAGGGACACCATTTCTATCCCCTGGTTAATAGCCTTTTATGGACCTAACCTTGGTCCATATGGTCCTTTTATGAGCCCAAGTGACTTACCTAAAAATCACATCCCACTTCAGTGTAAGAGCAGGGAATCCAGCAGAAGAGTGTCTAACTCCTACCCCTGTGATTATTAGACTGTATCAAGGGCCCAGAAAGTTTCTGTCATCTGCCCTGTCCCAGCAAGTTACCTCATGCCTGCAGACCCCAGCACCAACAGATTACAGTTTGTCTCCAATGAAGACACAGCTCACAGGAGCTGGTTTGTTTGTAGGATTGATTGGGACCATAAAAGTTCAATATATTGCAGCTGCTTACACACCCAGCCTGACCCAGCTGCAGGGAACCAGCATTCCAGGGGGCAGGCACAGTTGGTGGACAATTGGGGGGGCACATTTGACCCCAGTTTAACTGAGCCTGTACAGAAACAAGGAATGAAATCCTGGCCCCATGGAAGTTAATAACTCCCATGGTCTGTAATGGAGCCTGGCTGTCCCGTCCCCCCCCCCGCCCAAGTCCAGACACAGCAGGGATGGGGTCACGCGCCACTGAAATGCAGCCACTTCTGGGCTGCAACACAGCCCCCTGCTCGACAGCACACAGCAACAGGCGGTACACGAAGAACACCCGTCCCAAACGCCACAGAGCGCGGCCAGCAGCTGTAGCTACTGCCTCGCAGGCAGCTTTCACCACGCACGTTATTTGCTTCAGCCATCTCCGGCTGGGTGGGCACCCGTTTCCCAAACTGACAGACACTAAAAGCGGCTGCCCTGCGCCAGCAGAAGCCAGCCCGCTCCGGGTCCGCAGACGGAAAGGCTGGGACAAGCCCAGCCTGTGGCATTGAACTGCTGCCGAGAAAGAAACATGCTCTTGAGAACCAAGAAAAGACAAATCTGCGGCTCAGTCCAGCTGCTCTGTCCTGCGCCAGCTGTTCCCCCGCCCTCTCCCTCCAGCCTGCTGTTCTCGCTCACCCAGAAGTTCTCCTTGAACAAAGTCTCCCTCATGGTGCAGGAAAAGCTGCAGCAAAGCGCCATAGGCTGTAGCGTGTCTGAACCACCACCCGCACCGACTCAGCGCTGGTAACTTTTTAGTTCCTCCTCCGCAACCCTGGTGCCTCCCACTGGTTCCTCTGGGTCCTAAACCCCAAAGCAACCTACCCGCCTGCCTCCTTTCTCCTCTCTTCCCTGCCACGCTAAAGAGCTGGTCCCCACAGGACTTTCCTCCCGCCAAGCCACCTTGCATTTCTCAGCTGGTTTTCTTTTTAGGGGCTCTTTTCTTTAGCGGGAGAAGGACAAGGAATGGAGAGTCTGGGCTTTAGAAATGAGGAGCCCAGTGAGTGCAAGTTTGGATGTTTCCTCCCTGGGCTAGTTACTGAATGCAGCAGGTTCAAACATCATGGCTGCGTCTAGACTGGCAAGTTTTTCGGCATGTGGAAAAACTTGCCAGCTATCTACACTGGCCGCTTGAATTTCCGCAAGAACACGGACTTCCTACTGTCTGAAATCAGTGCTTCTTGCAGAAATACTATGCTGCTCCCGTTCGGGCAAAAGTCCCTTTTGTGTAAAGGTTTTGTGCAAAAGGGCCAGTGTAGACAGCTCAGTTTTGTTTTGCGCAAAAAAGCCACGATCGCGAAAATGGTGATCGGGGCTTTTTTGTGCAAAAGCGCGTCTAGATTGGCACAGACGCTTCTCCGCTTTTCTGTTAAAAGCATTTGCAGAAAATCATGCCAGTCTAGACATAGCCCATGGGTCAAGTCCCTACCCTAAATCAGTGTGGCCTAGTGGCAAAAACACTAGCCTGGGACTCCAGTGACCAGAATTCTCCTCCTTGCAGCTCTCCTGAGGGGGTAACCTCAGACAAGCAAGGCTCCATGACTAGGTTTCCACATACATAACATTGAGATGTTAGTCACTTGCTTGGTAAAGAGCTTTAAACTCTAATGATTAAACCAGCTGAAAAGCTAAGGATTATGATTAAGAATATGTTCAGTTGCTAATGCACGCACAACATTTGCAGATGTAAAGCATCATGAAAACAAGAACAATGGGGAGGGAGGTCCAGATCTTCAATTGTTCAGTGTCCACCTCTGGTTCTGGGTGGGCCTTAGCCTTTCCAAATGATGATCTGTAACACACACCGCTGTTTGCAGGGATGAATCAAGGGGAGAAGGGAAATGCCAAGAGAAAGGGGAAAACACCATTAATAATCACTGCCCACTGGCAACCGTCATCCCAAAATACCCACATCAGGGTTTCTTTAAAGAATCCGTGGGATGTATGCAAAGTTTCACTGCCTATGTGCCAACAGGCAAAGGGCACAATTAATTGAGTGAAACTGGCTGTGCATCATTCCCATAAGGTGTGTGACTTTACCCTGGGATTAGATAATTAATAGATTCCAAGCCAGAAGGATTCAGTGTGATGATCTAGTCTGACCTCCCACAGAGCACAAACCCTCACCCTAGGATTGCTCATCACCTCAGAAAATCAGACTCTTTTTGTGCTGTCTGGATTTTGGCCCCCAGAATGAGTGGCCTCTTTTGAAAATTTGGCTGGAAGTGAGTCTGCCAGTGTCCTAGGATTAGTTATAGAAATGTAGCCGTGTTACTCCGGTGTAGCTGAAACAAAAAATAGGACTGTGTAGGAGTGATTTTAGAAGCATGGCCAGGATGAAAGCACAGGCATTAATCTAATCTAATCACTAGACAATGCTTTTTCCCTGCCTGCATTTGATTATTTTCCACAGTACGAACACAGTGGTAATAAGCACTGTTACAACAGAACCTTCTGACATGAACCTGCAGGTCGATTTGCTGACATCTGACTAAACAAACACAGCCTAGAATTAGTCTCTACTGCCTGCTTTTCAGCTACTGGATAACCAAAACCTATAGAAAACCTGCCTATCCTAGGGTCATATTAATTAGCTGAATACTAGTGCTTCTGCTCCTGAAGAGGGTGGCTGATCTCAATCAAGTTAAGTTCACATTGGCATCTGGGGTTTTTCATCTCACCAGGGTCTGAGCAGCTGTGCTACCTGCATTACCGGATCTTCTCTGTTTCTGCCTGCCTGTGTGGCTGGCAGGTAGAACCCTTGATTCTTTGTGCTGTGACCCTCTAGGAATCTTTCCCATTCTATAATGGGAGAATGTCTCAGTCCTGCGAAGGAAACTGTGGTAGGGCCCTGGAGGTGATTTAGCTTACATCCCCACTGCAAAAGTGGGCAGGTGTCTGCCCAATTTGAAGTGGAGCCTGGCTCCTAATCTATGTGCCCAGCTGGGTAAACTGAGTCCAGATTTAAAGCACCTCCCAATCCAAAGGATTTTGTGTGTGTGTGTGTGTGTGTGGCTGGCTGGAGGGTTGGGCTAAAAGCTGGGTCAGAGCGTGGGTGAACATTGAAGTGCAGACATATTCTGAGAGGTGCAGCTGCTTCCATGGTTTATTATATACTATAACTAGCAAGGTTATCCTAAATCGTTCCATGATAGGAGAGTGTTGTCCCCATGAGGAATGATCTAGTGGTAAAAGGAGAATCTGTTAGAGGCCATGTCTCTGTGTGCAAAAAGGCACCACGTGGCTGCATTGACACAAGGGAGGGACCCTACTCACTTCCAGCTTCCTGGCAACACAGTGGAAGTTACACAACCTAGAAATTCTCCACCAGTGCCACGGCCCCCACCCACTGCTGGAGTCTCCAAATTATGGCAACTATCTCATATGGCTGCAGACTGTAGGTACTTTCAAAGGTCTACAAGTTGTAGTAATATAATATGGAGGCCTGGTGTGTAGTAATATGGAGGCCTGAGGCCTAGCCAACAAAGGTCAAAACTTTGCTAATATAAAGTAAAGCTAAGTTGTGAACAAGAGGCAGGCCCATGCTCATGGAATTTGACTGATAGTGGGACTGATAGTATAAAACACTAATTGGTACTGGGCACATGATGAAAGCACATTCCAAAGGGATGGTAACAACACCTTGTTAAGAAGCACGTTGGTACCCACACACTCCCCACAGACAACAGAGACGTATTGACCCAGGTTTAGGAGAGTATAAAATGACAGCATGGTGGATAGAGATGTTTTGATCGAACCCCCAGGAGCAGGGTGATGGGTGGCTTCTAAGTAACGTCAGAGGGTAGCAACCTGACATGTCTGGAGTGATATGTAACTTGTTTGTACCCATGTATAAAGTTGTTTCTTGGAGGGGCTGTCTTTGTCCGGTCCAGGGGGCAGCGAACCCCCTTATTGACTAAGCTGATCCACTGTAATGGGGTACATATGTGTTGTGGTTTGGTTGAGTCTACTGACAACTATTACTGTATTTCGTTTGACAATAAACCTGGCTTGGTGCCATGTTCTAGTAGAATGTTCTTCTAAATGAAAACGTAAAAGGATCATTCTGACAGATTGGGTCACAGAGATCCCCTTGAGGCTGTCACCTGATGGGCTGATCATACCACTGAGCCCACCTACCTGCCCTCTAGGGCGCCCCACCACCCTGCCTTGCTGGGCCAGAAGCTCTGGTCTTCCCCAGCAAAGGCACAGAGTTGAAGTCACAACCCATTGCAGAGTAACACAGACACTGACAGCAGCTCAACTCTGGGTTTGTTCATGCAACGTTCAGTCAACCTGTGGAACTCCTTGCTAGAGGATGTTATGAACACCAGGACTTCAACAGGGTTCAAAAAAGAGCTAGATAAATTCATGGAGTATAGATCTATCAATGGCTATTAGCCAGCATGGATAGCAGTGGTGTCCCTAGCCTCTGTTGATTAAAGGCTGGGAATGGGCAACAGGATGGGATCACTTAATTATCTGTTCTGTTCAATCCGTCTGGGGCACCTGGCATCAGCCACTGTTGGAAGACAGGATACTGAGCTAGATAGACCTTTGGTCTGATCCAGTATGGCCTTCTTATGTTCTTATGGGAAGGCTCAATCTTGACATAGACCCAATAGAATCAAATCCCCAGATAAATCCATCTTACTCTGCACAACAATGTTACACAGAGCAAGTTCATAACTTGTTCACTCTATTAATGAACGAGAGATATGGATGGCTGTTGTTCCCTCTCCCAAGTAACAATTATTTACTGTAGGTTTGATAATAAGCAAAAATAATTGTATTAAGTGTAAAAAGTGGTTGTAAGTAATGACAGGAAGAAAAAGTAAGTTACTAAATTAAAATAAACAAAACACACCAGCTAAGCCTAGTACACAAAGAGAAATGGTTATAAATCATAATTTCTCACCCCAGTCCTCATTTCCAGTAAAGTTCTTCAGGCCAGAGCTGATCTTTTTCTTGATCTGGCTCTAACAGCATTTCCCCTCATTAGAGTTCTTTTCTATTCAGACCATTTTACGTATTTTCTCAGGTTGGGGAGCATTCTCTGAAGCCAGCTGAAGACAATAATTGTTTGCATCCCAGCCCATAAACAAAATTTCTCCAAGGCAGACAATCTTCATTCAATTATCCTCCATCCCTCTCCCCCTCTAGAAGAGTACAAAATTCAAGATGGATTCCAGAACCATCTGGCATGGTCACCTGTCTTTATAGGATCAAACATAACCCAGGCTTACAGGAAAAACAGGACTATTCACAGATCATTCCCTTGAGCACTGGGCCATTGAGTTCCTTAAGTACCATTAATGGCTTTCATTGGAAGACCTAATTAAAAACTTTGTATTTCTAATTCATATACAAGAAAGATACATGCACACAAATAGAATATACACGTTCAGAGGATTAGAAGCTCTTGAATGATAGCTTAATTGCCCCATTTTGCATAAAGCATATTCAAGTTATGCATATTCATATTCAAAAATGTATTTCCATAAAAATATGAGGGCACCATATCACAATCATCTCTAGTCCTTTGCAGGACACAAAAGCAAGGAGTGTGAGGGGGAGCTGCTAGAGATGGAGATCACAACATTCAGCTCCAAAATATCACAGCTTCTGTCTAGAAGAGGATCTGTTTCTATGAGTTTTGGGCCAGCCACCTGTAGGTGACATAATCACAAATACTCGAGCAGTTCTTGCTATTTTGTCCTGGACAGGGCAACAGCAGAGCAGCAGCCGCACATTGGTAA